GGACAAGAAAAACAAATGTTACAGTGTAAAAAGCCATAAGAAAAATATGGTATACTTTCAACATTTCATTTATGACTGTAATAGCACTAAGTACAAAAACAAATTTAATAATGCGCGTGGCTGAAGAACAAGGAAAAGCAGTACATGGCACTACATGCTAGCCCAAAAATTGTTAGCTAAGTTGACAACACCGTACAGGCGCACACGTGACTTATCACCTGACGAAAACTGAAAGAGATCTCTACGGTTTCCATCTCCCCTCTCTCACAGCCTCTCTCTCTCTCTCTCGTTATTATAGTTTCATGTTTTTTTTCCGTAGAAAAAATGATGGAAGCTGAAATTCCGGACTTTTAAAGAATTTTAAAAATTACTTCCGGACGAAGATTTCGAGACCTAAATGGAGGACATGTCCGGGAAAATACGGACGTATGGCAACCCTAAGTTCAGTTTTGACCTTTTTGAAATGCTGTAATCTCCTCCAAACAATATAACACTAAATTATAGAAACACAAATATATGTTAACTAATCCCTCTGGCCAGCCCTAGGAGAGACTCAAATGGGTGTCAGTGGTCTGGTTAAACTAAATCTTGATGATGATGATTATCGGCGAATGTTCACTCTTCAGTCGCAGGGGTGTTGGAGGAGGTTTGGGGGGGGGGAGGATCCACTTGCAGTTCACTATGAATACATGAAATAGGAAGGGTTTCTTGGGCAGTTGATCCAAAAAGATTTACCAAAACGTTATGTCAGAGTAATAATACTTAACTTAGGTGTTACTAATACCATTAATTTACTCTAGTATATAAAAGTCTGCATCAGTTACCATAACATAATATTACTCTGCCATTTCAGATATGCCTGCAGGACGAGCAAATTGGTCGGCAGTGATTGCTGAGCGAGGCCAAATCATCGGGATGTGGAGAGCTGGGGCAACTGTGCGGAACATTGCTCTCGAAGTGGAGAGGAGCACTAAGACGATTAGGAGGTGGATCCGCCGGTGGGAGGAAGAGGGCTCAGTGGAGACGAAACCTCGAAGCGGGAGGCCACGAGTAACGTCGACAAGGATGGACGCCATGATCGTGGCAGCTGCAACGGCATATCCAATGTGAACATCAGTGGAGCATACAAGAAATCTGGGCCTCAACTGCCATCACATGACGACGAGACGCCGATTTCATGAAGCCGGGATCGACTGCCATATTCCAGCTCACAAAGGGTGGCTAACACCTACTCACAAGGGGTGTCGACTCGGCTTTGCATTGGAACACCTTCCACATAGAGAAGAATACTGGAGAACCATTATATTTACCGATGAAACGGTGTTCAGGTCAGTGGGAGCCGAAGCAAGGCAGTGCTGGCGGACCCCCAACACACGCTACCATGAGAAACACATTCAACATCGCGCAGTGAGTGGTAGGGTGTCAGTGTCATTCTGGGGGTGGATGTGGGCACATGGGCCAGGTGAACTGGTCAAGATCAATGGCCTTTTCACTGGTGAGCAGTATGTAGACATCCTGGAGCAAGGGCTAAATCCTACAGTCCGGGCTATGGCAGTTCCAGCCCCCCACACTATCAGGCTGGTTCATGATAACAGTCCCATTCACACCAGCAACATAGTGAAGGACTACCTCCAGGATCACCCTCAAATTGAGGTCATCAACTGGCCAACACTAGGATGTGATAATAATCCGATTGAACATATTTGGGCCATGATGAAACGTGATTGGGATATTGGGGAGCAGCGAACCTGCGCAGCAATAGAGGCCAAAGCTTACTACGTGTGGGAGAGTATACGTCGACGACCAGGGGTGTGCCTGAAGCTGGTCGACTCCATCCCTAATCGCCTTGATGAAGTCCTGAATGCAATGGGTGGCTGGACCAAATACTAAGATGTGTGTATTGGTGTATTGTTTGGATTCTAGTTTTGTTTGTAAATACAATTAATATATATTAACTCACCTGCAGTGTTATCTTAAATCCATGTCCTTTATGATGTCTTAAACTATATCGCATGAAAATTCATAACAAAGTAACTTAACAGCCACAAATTATGTATTGTGTGGTATACAATGATCTGTATGACACGTCGTGGAATGTGTTGTCTTATAACACAATATAATTATATAGTTACAATTGCTACCATCATTGAAATGCTCATGATGTTCAGCACACAATATTAACGGTAACTGAGCACACTCCAAAATATATGAAGCTTGCATATTGTGGTGGGGTGTTTAAACACTGGAACTTGGAAGAATTGGGACAGTCACCTAGATTAAGTCTGAATACTATTTTACAATACTGATAACTTTTTCACTCCACTCTTTTTAACATAAGTATATAATTATATAATATTGCATATTATCACAAATATTTATTAAGCAAAGGATGGGTGGAATATAAATAAATATTACCATATTCTCTTTGTCGGAATAACAACAAAATTGTGACGTGTCGCTGAGTAAAACTAGCTGACCGAGGCCCTTCATCCTGATCCTTGCATATTTCACCTTTATCCTTAATATATTCCATTCTTTAAAGTATCATTGTGACCTGAGCGGCAATAAGCACCCAGGTCACTGCACCTGTTCCATGAATTCATAACCATGAAGAAACAGCTGTAAGACAAAACGTAGTTAAAAAGGCAGCTTGAAATTATGGTGGTATAAATAATAAATAAACCTGCCTCTCATCCAGCCCCCACCTCCTCTATCCCCCCCCCCCACACACACACACTACAGTGGGCGACATCTGTTGGCCGACCATAGCATTTCGCCCAGCTGTTTCGAAACTTCAGACTCAAGGCTATTCGAAACCTCACTGTGGCTGGGTAGTGGACACGACTTTTGTGCACCATAGTACTGTACAATCAGATAATTTGATAATTCACCCATATTGAATCTTCATGCCAATTTTAATACTTTATCACCACTTGCAAGATTCCCTCAAAAATTGACACTTCTCCCCTTCGCTACAAGAAGACATACGCGCGTAACATGTTTACATTACGACGTCACAATTCATTCATACCCTGGCTACTGAGAGAGACTGCTAATTATTTAATATTATTATACACGTTTAAATTAGTTTACCATGAACATAGACAATACAGGTATACAAACAACCGTAAACAGTTAGTTGAGTTAACGAAAGGTAGCCCAAGAAAGACAGATAACCGCTGTTTGTTTTTCTTAACGTCACTTAATTCCACCACGTGTATCAACCTGAAGAAAGTGGATATATTATGCCTTTGGCTGATATACAGTAGTTCGTCATTCCACCACCAGATGTCGGTGTCTCCGTAAGCAATGGACGAGTTGACGTTCTGGGTAAACAAAAGAAATACACTCTGCCACGTTCGTAGAGTGATACGGTATATATAATTTGTAGTTAAAGTTTGAAGTCTTGCTATAATAGTCGAGATAACATTATTTCTCTAGAAACAGGGCTGCCATTTGCAATGACGTCACTAGTTTCAAACACCACTGGGCTGCAGTCGTAGGTAGTAGAAAGGATGGCCTCTTCAGACCCCAAATGCCACGTTCAGGTAAGTTTTAAGGATGTTTTTTGTATAGACAAGTCATGAACATTTCGTAAGTTAAGAAATGTGCCGCGAAGAGCAACCTCAAACATATGTTGGATGGACATATGAGCGATAGGGGTTGGGTGTAAATGGGACTGCTCGTGCTCAGTATGGGCCAATAAGCCCACTGCAGTTTCCTCCATTCTTATGTTCTTTTGGGAAGTTCACCCCGTTACCCAACCAGTGACGTCACAACCAATCACAGAGCTTTTCGCATTCACGTGACTTTTTAGCAACTTTAACCCTTATTTTTGACACTTTTTGGCCCAATATATTTGAAAATCTCATTACCATCGTGAATTCAAGCGTTTTCTTTACCTATTGACCTGCCATCTTACGAAAAAATTCCGACCACCAGCTTGTCCATTACAGCGGTACATGGTCAGAAATTATATTCTGGTATGTTTCCATTACGTCATTGAGCGTTCCAAATAACAGCCTGAAAATAACAGGTATTTTCTCTACTTATACAATAGTCGGCAGTGTTGAAGTTTATAAGAGACATTTTGAAAAATAGATACTGGGCGCCGAGATGTTAAGAGAAGGCTTGTTCATTTGCCCCGCGGTATAAAAGTTTCCGTTAGAATAAACTTTCCTCCTGCAATGTAAAATTTTGCATTGTGAAAATTATATATATGAGTGAAAAATTTAATGAATAAATCAGGGTTATCTTAATACATCAGCGACTAACATTAACACGGTCTTCTCTGTAAGGGTGGTCGGCCATACAAGCTGTAAATAGTGTTTGATTTGTATTGTTCAACAAAGAAAGTCAGTGTTTAGAGAGGAAAATTTACTTTAATATTGTCGAGCTTGCATTTCCAGACCTTTACAGGTGAGGAACTCTCTCCCTTCCCCCTCAGGCTGTTGACAACGTGTAGTTTTCCCAATTTCAAAGGAAGGCATCCTGATCTCTCTCTGAGAACCTTGGTATATTAGTAGAAGATAACTGTAGACATATAATATAATAAACTGAAGAAATATAATAATTATACCATTATTGAGAAATAATTGTAATACGAATTAAGTATTAATCCTCTTCTGGCATAATATTGGAAACCTTCTGCATTATGCATATATTGTGTGAGTTAAATATGAAAGACTGACAGTAGAGTATTTACATTTGTTGAAATAAAGGTCTGGGCCAGTGATTATCACGGCCTTACTGGGAAGTCTCTTGAACCCCCTTGAACAGAAATTGAAATTCAAATATTTTATTGACAATAAAAAACTTTTACATCAAAAGGACAGGGTAGTATACTACTCCCACCCACACATTTGCGATCCCTACTAGGGCCTCTGTCTTTAACAGACAAATTGCTCACCAATATAGAATGCTTAAGTGAACTTGACAACTGCTTTGTCGGGTTAATGACGGCATCGCATAAATAGGCGGAAACCACACATGTAGCTTACCAGTCTTAGCATCATGCCGCTTAGTTTACACGATGACGGTGGCCCACAGCTGTTGTACCTCCAGAGTGGGGTGAGTATCACTCGTTGGCGGCCGCGAGACTGGCCTCACACAGTCTCTCACTCCAGACAACAAGTGAAGGGTGTCGTCAACCCGACAAAAGAGAAGCAACTGAGGGACCGTAAACTTAGGGCCTCCAGTCTCGGAGAGTAAGCCAGAAGGCACCTTAGAGAAAGTGCTGGAAACTCCAACAGCTGACGGTGGTCGCATCTGAAGTGATGGACCTCGCCAGCGCCGCTCGCCCACACCACCTGCTTCACTAGATGACAACCACGATATATCTGTTGATTGGTGTTATTTTCGTCTGTTGGTACTGTTGTTTTAAACTGACGGTTATTATTAGTAATTTACGCTAGTCATTGGATCACTTGAAAATTAGGGCCCTAGTTTATTTCACTTAAGACTAACCCCCTAACGCAAACCTAACCTAACCTCGCTTGGTCGCGTTAGGGTGGTTAATCATCAGATAAAATAAGCAGGGAGCTAATCTTCAGGTGATTCTAGTTAACTTGTAAATAATAATGTTATTTTAAGTGTCTTGTTTGTACACATGATGGTGTTATTTGAAAGAAATACAAAATTAAACGTTTTAATCTGTTGGTGAACGCCTTGAGTGATCAACTATCCCCAGCTGGTAGTGCTGTACACGGCGACCAATATAACGAACGACACAAACTACTGTATCTCAGACATTAAGATTAATTAAACCTAACCTAAGCACCTTAACACTAATGTAACGTAACCTAACCTATAAGCACGCTAACGTAAAGTAACCTAACCTATAAGCACGCTAACGTAAAGTAACCTAACCTACCCTAACCCAACCTAACCTTACCGAACAACAAAACCTAATCCAATCTCACTTAACCTAGTCTAACCAAACTTAACCTAACGCCCCCATATAGCATTAGGGTGTTTAATCATTAGGTGAAATAAACTGGCGGGGGCTTATCTTCAGGTGATCCACAATTGCCAATACTTGCTGGTAACACTGTACTGAACACCGTGGCCAATTTAACAAACGGGGTGGATCATTTTCTTGGCGGGTTGTTCCTGTAATGATTGCTGATGATGGCCAGGCATTACCTCGAAGACTTAACGCATCAAGTGTCGGTGGTGGACGATGTTTGTTGAAGCCAACAGAGACCACCAGAAGATTAGTCTCCTTAAATAATTACACCTGAGGATTAATCACCCTAACGCTACCTGGGGAGGATGGTTAGGTTAGGTTTGGTTAGGTTAGATTAGGTTTGGTTAGATTAGGGTAGGTTAGCATTGGTTTGGTATACTTTAGTGTGGTTTTTCTTAACCACTTTACTTCGGCGACGCCACTTTTAATATTTCATTTGGCAAACACCAGACGATTTTATTGAGCTCAGAATGAACCCCGTACACAGGTTAGTAAATTATCACCACTAAGATGAAATAGGGGAGGGGGGGGTAAGGGCTAATATTTATGTGATCTGCCGAACAAATTTACATTGTAACTAATGGTTAGAGACGACGTAGCTTGGAGTAAGTAATTATACTCAAGCTATGACGAAGACCTCGTTAAAACGGATGAAATAACAAGATAAACACGATAAACTATTAAAACTGTATAATGTGTTACGATAAAGTGAATAAAAGAGAGATACAAAATGTATAAAGACTGAATACAAAGGGGAATAAAATCCCCCACGTGAATAAAGGAATCGGGTGTATTAACTGTGTATTAAGAGTTATGAATGATAGTGAAGGTGAATAAATTATGCATCTCATACACTCCTCACATACTACCTTCCACCATCATCACTACCACCACGTAACTCACCTTACCATAACAATTCATCCATCATCCACCACACATTCTCTTTCATCCATTACAGTCACTTTCATTCACTACACCCCTTCATTCACTACACCCCTTCATTCACTACACCCTCATTCACTACACCCCTTCATTCACTACACCCGTTCATTCACTACACCCCTTCATTCACTACACCCTCATTCACTACACCCCTTCATTCACTACACCCCTTCATTCACTACACCCCTTCATTCACTACACCCTTTCATTCACTACACCCATTCATTCACTACACCCTTTCATTCACTACACCCATTCATTCACTACACCCTTTCATTCACTACACCCTTTCATTCACTACACCCTTTCATTCACTACACCCTTTCATTCACTACACCCCTTCATTCACTACACCCCTTCATTCACTACACCCTTTCATTCACTACACCCTTTCATTCACTGCACCTATTCATTCACCAAACCTTCATTCACCAAACCTTCACTCACTCCACACCTTCATTCACTAAACCCCCTTCATTCACCACACAGTCATTCACTACACTCCTTCATTCACTACACCCCTTCATTCACCACACATTCATTCACTACATCCCTTCATCCACCACACATTCATTCACTATACCCCCTTCATTCGCCACACCTTCATTCACTACACCCTTTCATTCACCACTCATTCATTCACTACACTTTGCTGCCCTCCAGATACAGGAAAAGTGCAGAGAACAGCCTCGACTTGGTCAACAGGGAAGCCCTCTTGTGGACCCTCAGCCGTTTTGGCTGCCCACCAAAATTCATCGCCATTGTTAGGCAACTCCATGATGGCATGAACGGCAGTGTCCTGCACAATGGCACCCAGTCTGTATTCTTCCCCATCCAAGCAGGGGTTAAACAAGGGTGTGTACTGGCATCAACTCTCTTTTCCATTTTCTTGGCTGTCTTTCTTACTCGATCCAGTGCCAATTTAGCCTGCTGGGTGGATGTCAAGTACTGGATGAAGGGTCTTTTCAACATAAGACGACTCCAGGCAAGAACATAGGTGTCGGCAGCTTCCATTACTGAACTTCAGTATGCAGACGACCTCACCCTTGTTGTTCACACTCAACACGACCTACAGGAGATCCTGAATACCTACGCAGATGCGTATGCACACTTCAGCCTTGAGATGAATGTAGGTAAGACCGTAAGACTCGGATTCTCTTTCAACCTGCCCCTGGTTCAGACACACCTCCTCCGTCCATCCAGCTTAATGGTACTGCCCTCTCTAATTTTAACCACTTTCGGTATCTTGGCTCCCACCTGTCCACCACCGCGGACATCGATGAAGAGATTCAGCATCGGATCAGATGTGCATGACAAGCATTTGGCAGAGTCCGAAACCGTGTCTTCAGCTGTAGGGACCTGAAATTATCTGCAAAGTTGCACGTATATCAAGCAGGGGTCTTCCCTACCCTGCTATATGGCAGCGAGACATGGGTAACATACAGGAGGCACCTCAAGGGACTTGAAAACTTTCACCAACGTAGTCTACGTTCCACACCTCCGAGTTCACTGGTAAGACAAGAGAATAAACGCCAGTATTCTCGCTGACACCAACTGTAGGAGCATTGAGGCTACCATTATCCATGAACAACTACGCTGGACTGGCCATGTTGCCCGCATGGACGACAGTCTACCAAAGCAGCAATTTTACAGTCACCTAACGAATGGTAACCGTAACGCCGGCGGGCAACTATAAAGGTATAAGGATAGTCTTAAGACTAACTTGAAAAAGTGCCAAATTGACCCCCTCACCTGGGAGTCGATTACTCCACGTCGTAACGCTTGGAGGAGCACCACACGAGAATTTGTCATTACTATCGAGTTATCCCGACTGCAAACCGAGGCAGACAAGCGACAACGCCGGAAAGACGCTGCCATCGCCCCTCCCGCACTAGATGTACACTCGCACCAAAAAGTATTGGTGCGAGTGTATATCTAGTGCTGACAATCAGTGTGTTTGTTTCCTCTTTTCGGATTGTTGCTTTGTGTCAACTGAATGATGCGAGAGGGTTCGGTCTCGGTGAACGTGGGTATAAAACGGAGGCAATATGAAGCAGTAGAGATCTACACATGCCAGACGACATAGAAACCTCAGAGGAAACACGAGGAGCTATTATTGCCCTTCATAACGAAGGGTTCGGCGTCACAGATATTACCCGGCAGGTTGGTGTCCACAGGAACACCGCTGCACGATGGATTCGGCGATACCTCGAAACTGGTGCTACAGACGACAGGTCTCAGAGCGGCCGTCCACGTTGCACCACCTCAGGACGACAAATAATTTTTTTAACAGGGAGCTCCTCATATTTCATACTGTCTATTTATCAATTCCCGACCTTATTTATAACGGTTTGTTTCACTTGACTAGGCCATAGTAGCTGCTCAGCAGGATTACAGGGCTGCCACCATACGGCTGGAACAACTCGCCTTTCCCAATACCTATCGTCACTGGTCTCAAATTGTTCACACTACAGTATGCACCGATACTTTTTGTTGCGAGTGTTCCTCTTCACATGTACACTCGTGAACAAAAGTCCTGTCGCCCCTTCTGCTGCTCCACGAATCCTGAGATTCAGACTCATGAATCCGAAGCATTTATGGGCAGAATAATGCACCAGTGTCTACTGCTTCGGGTTCATGAGTCTGAATCTCTTGGTGCACGGAACAGCAGAAGGGGCGACAGGACTTCTGTTCACGACTGTACAACGAATGTGAATGACTCTGCTGGTCCCGTATCGGCCTCTTTAGTCACCTCAAAACTCACCAATGAAGGTGACATCCCTTATAACTCCTAGCATTGTATCATAGCTGGATGATCGTCATATTCGATTCCGAGTGACAGCAAAGCAGTAGTAGTAGTGTGGTGTGTGTGTGTGTGTGTGTGTGTAAACATGTGCGCGCGGTGTGTGTTGGCGTGTGTGTTAGCCCTGAAATTGACAAGAGCCTGGAGCTAACTTCCTGAGCTCGTCAAAAGAATATCCACAACTTTCTAACGTAATTCCTTGCAGCACTTAACGAGCACCTGTGTTCATAAAATATAACCATGGTGCCTTTCATACCTTACACTGTTGTGGAGGGTCAGCGTGTACAGGGAGACTCAGATAAATGTATATGAATTGTGTTAAACATTTCTTTGGATATCGTCTGTATGTCTATATTAAAACTACAATATTACCCTCACATGTTGAAGAACTGTACAAGGTCTCCCACAAGTGGGATCTCTACGAAATATGTGTATTTACTTCTGAATATGATGGTGTTGGATAAGAATATATGACTATGCAGTGTTGTATAATC